CTCTCAAGGATGCTGGGATAGCTATTCTGCCTCCATACAGCAATAGTCCTTTCTGAACTGTGAGCTCACCTGAGAAGGGAAGGTATGGTTGAAATGCTCTGCCAATAGAGTGCTTATCTGGCTATCCTTCTTTTCAAAACAGTTTTATTTGCTGGAGAATGGGATCTTTATCTTGATTTTCTTGAATTTCTTCCAGTTTTTTTATCTGTAGCAGGCAAGCGTGCAATGACTGAATTTGCATACAGTTTTATTTCCTCTTCCAACTGTTTTTCTCCCATCTTGCTGACAGGGGCTCTGGAAAGAACATCTGCAGTCGCCATCTCTTTACCTGGTACATGAGAGATAGAGAAGGAGAACCTCATACGCAACCATTGAATGCGTGGAGGTGATTCATCCAAACTTTTTGAGCCAAGCAGTGGGACTAAAGGTTTATGGTCAGTGTAGAAACTTTTCCCAATCAGGAACTCAGAAAATTTCTCACAGGCCCAGGTTATAGCATGTGCTTCTTTTTCAATTTGTGCATACCACTGCTCCGTACTGCTGAGAGATCTTGAGGCGTATGCTGTAGGTTTCCATTTCATGTCAACTTGTTGCTGAAGAAGTACAGCACCGATCCCATTTGAAGAAGAGTCAGCAGAGACAAGTGTGTCAGCTTTAGGGTCAAATAAAGCCAGCCCTGGGGTTGTGGTCAGGTCTGCTTTAATACTGTTGAAAGCCTCCTGCTGTTGGGGTCCCCAAGACCACATATTGGACTTCCTCAGTAAATCTCTGAGGGGATGTGTCTTCTCTGACAGATAGGGCAAGAACTTTCCAAGGTGATTCGTCATTCCGAGAAAGCGTCTGACCTCGCTCACATTTGTTGGCTCTGTCATTTCTTTAATGGCATTCACTTTTTCAGGGTCTGGATGAACGCCTGATGCATCAATAATCTGTCCCAGGAATTTAATCCTGTTCTTTGAGAACTCACACTTTTCATTTAGAGTGACCCCTGCTTCCTGCAGTCGTAATAGTGCTCTCCTCAGTCTGACATCATGCTCATCTTGTGTGGTCCCCCATATGAGCACATCATCCATTTGACACACAACCCCTTCCAGACCCTCAAAAATGCAGGACATTTGTTTCTGAAAATGTTCTGGTGCAGATGAAATTCCAAAACACAGACGGTTGTAGCAGTATCGCCCATACGGTGTGATGAAAGTTGTTAACAAAGAAGATTTTTTAGATAATGGAATCTGCCAGAATCCAGCATTTGCATCAAGCTTTGAAAATACTTTGGCTCCTGCCAATTGTCCCAAGGTGTTTTCAACTGAGGGAAGTGGGTGTTTTTCTCTCAGCACTGATTTATTCAGCTCTGTGAGGTCAGTACATATTCTGACTCTTCTTGTGCTCTTACACCGAACGCGTTTTGAGCGGCAGGAGCGGCCGATTCACATGCAAAGTCTATGGTGGACGTGCATCGTGTCACGTACATTTTGGGTGGCGCGGAAGGGGCGCAGATCGTTTTCCGCGCGTGCGGTGCTGCGGAAGCAGCCGCCGCCAGAGTTCAAATATCTGAACTTTTTGCCGCTCGACGTGTCTCCCACTGAAAACCGAAACAGACGGACTGGAGATCTTTACCTGAAATCGACCGTGTGCAGTTAGATTTTCTTGCAGGATATATCAGCACCAATTTGGATCAGCTGCTCAGGACCAAAAAAAAAGTCTGTCAGCTGGCAGCTTCTGGAGTGAAGAAACTAACCGAACAAATCGCCTCTAAATCATCCGGTGAGTTAATTATCTCCTGTGCGCAACGTTCACTTGCTTTTTAGTAAATAAATCAAAGCCATTTTCTATTTTATCTTTATTCACCCGCCGAGGAGACGCTCCTCCCACACCCCGCTGCAACCGCTGCTGCTGCTTCTCGGTCTGGTCTGACCACTAGTGCGTTCTTCGGTCTGAGCATGGTGCATCCAACAAGAGGCGTTTTGCGCTTTTTGGCCACTCAAAACACGTTCGGTGTGAACGTAGCATTAGGAACCACCACCATTGGAGCATACCACTCTGTTGGTTGTTCCACTTTGGAAATGACTCCCTGTTGTTCCATACGGTTCAGTTCCTCTCTGACCTTAGGTAACAGTGGGACGGATATGCGCTTGGGTGTAGAGAGAGAGAGAAGGGTTGAGCTCCAGGCTTCAGCACTATGGTGTACTCACCCTCCATTTTTCCAAGTCAATTGAAGAGCTTTGGAAACTCCATCTTGATGGATTCAGGTGAATCCAAACTGATGTTGCCCACTCTGGCAACTAGATGTAATGCTGAGGCAGCCATCCTACTCAGCAGTGGTATCTTAAGTCCTTCAACCACGTAAATATCCTCTGTAGTATGTTTACCATCCTTGCTGAGGTTTGCTGTAAACATGCATTTAACTCTTAAAGGTGGCCCTCCTGGTCCATGAAGAACTTTTGTTGGTTTCTATTGTCTGCTGAAACAACCCTGAGCATATGGTTTTTCTGGAATAGCTGTAACATCAGCTCCAGTGTCAATTTTTACCACCATTTTTTTGTTATCAATTTCAATTTCTGTCATCCACTGGCTGGAGGTTTCTTTTTCTGCCAGTGAACCCTGGAAGGCAATATTTTCGTCTGCATTCTCAGTCACTGTGGCTACATTCACTTCAAACAGTCTTTTTGTTCTACACATCCATTCAAAATGTCCCTTCTTTCTGCACTGATGACATATTGCCTCTCTAGCACGACATTGGCTCAGATTATGTATGTTTGGATCTCCACACCTTGTGCAGTGATATAATCTCTCTTGTGGTTTTTTTCATCTTTTGTTTGTAACTTTGCCCCACTTGTTTCTTCTGGGCGCCGCCATGTTGATGCACATACACTTTATCCAGCTGCACATTGGATAAGTCGGTCTTAAAATTGTTATTTAGCATTTCCTGCTGCCATCTGTTCTGTTCACTTTAGCACAATTAATGGCTTGTTCCAAAGTCAGATCAGGGTCCATTTGCAGCTGCTCAGATAAACCTTTGTCTTTTAAGCTAACTACAAACCTGTCTCTTACCATTTCATCGTGCAGAGCTCCATAACCACAAAATTCTGTGACATTGCAGCGCCGTATGAAAGTTGTCCACTGTCTCTCCCGTCTCTTGCTGTCTTTGGTTGAATTCAGCTCGCTCGAATATTATGTTCCTGCAAGTAACAAAGTGAGCATCCAACCTTGTGTTCACGGTGTCATAATCCTTAGCTTCCTCTGAGCTAAGATGAAATAAGACAATAATGTCCTCAGCCGCAGCCCCCATCGTATAAATTAAGGCATTTACTTGATTCTCGTCTGCTTGTCTCTCCAAGCCTGAAGTGATGCGGAATCTTTCAAAACTTTTAATCCACTTCGGCCAGTCCTCCGACCTGAACGTGAACTTTTCTGGCGGTTTGTCACCCCGACCTCATCTCATACATTAAAGTTTAAGATCGTTATTGGATGAGGATTCCCCTGGACAAAGATTTTGCACAAATTTTAACAAATTTGCTCACCTTATCTGATTGTTGTTTTTGCTCTGGTACTAATCGTGCTATATCCCCATCCAGATGCTTTCCTCTGAGCCAATCCTGCCGACAACGCCAATTTGTTGTGTTTTTTTCTTCAAATACATTATTTAGACTTATAATTATTTATTTTTAGTTTTCTGAAAACTTAAAGAGTGAAATCCTAATTCCAATGCAAAAATTACATTTCAAATGATGAGAGAGTAGGCTTCGATGCAAGTTTTTAAAAGGTTTATTTTATGCCCCAAAAACAGCTGACATTCCATGAACCTTTGAGTCAAGGCAGTCCGGACCCCACGTTGACTGATCTAGACAAAGAAATACTGCCTGATTTATAGACCATGTCTCCTCCTTCGTCCCTCATTTCGGGCAGTCTTCTCATAAAGAGGTCCGCCCGTTTTCCCTTTTTCCGAAACTTCTTGGCTTCAGTTGTAACGGTGTAATGATTTTCCCTCTTTGACTCTTAACATGTTAGCCGAAGCGCGAGTTTTTTTTTCCATATAACATATGGCCTCATTTGTCTTGCTACAGCAAGCCTTGTCCATTTAACAAATGATTCTCAAAAAAACCCCGGCTGGTCTTTTCTTACACCTGCTCTAGATGGGACTTTTCCATTGCACATAAATTTGGACCTTCTACCCGCTTCGGCAAACCTTTTGTCAGTTCAAACGGGTTTTTTTTTTTACTATCTTTCTTTCTGACTGACAGCTCACAGGCTTGAATACCGTCTGTCTCTATAGGCTTCTGAGACACTACTACTGTCTGTATCTGCAGGCAGCCTGGGACATACTTTCTTCTACAGTTCAAGCCTGTTGTATTTTAAATTACAGCATTTTCTATTGATTCATCCTTATTCTATGGATCACACAATTATGCCTTATCCTAAAACACTTATCTACATTCTACTAGTACAAAGTTTTCTTGACTACTGATTGTAAAGAAGAAGAAAACACACATTCTATCATTACAGTATTCACTTCAGAGGGAGCCAAGCATATGTGCAGGAAGAGAGTTTAGCAATCAGGGAGGGAGCCGCCTGAGTGTGTGTGATTTTTTATTTTCTGCCTTGGGCAGTCGGGCAATAGGTTTTGTCAAACCCTGGTGCTTATGCCGTTCATGCGATTAATCGTTCAGCCCTAGGAGGGAGGGAGGTGAGCATGTGCAGGAAGAGAGTTGAGTAAGCAGGGAGGGAACCGCATGAATGCGTGTGTGATTTGAACTCACACGGTTCAAATTATTGTTTGTTCATATTGATATCTGCTCTCAAATCAGTGTTACTGCGCGCTCAAGCTGGTGGCACAAATGTAACGCCATACTAAGCTAGCTCTTACATTTCACCAAGATAAACGAAGAACCCATGATATCTTCAACAACAGTGAAGCAGTGAACCCTGTTTACTTAATGCAMCAACAGAAATGATGTATGTGTGAATGTAGAAGTAATGTCTTAAATGTACGTGTGTTTCAGTGGTCCCTGCAAATGATCAACAAATGGTGCTGATTAAAGTAGAAGCTTCTGAAGAATGGATATCTGGTGTGGACCAGCCAGATCCAAAACACCTCAACTTAAAAGAGGAAGAGGAGGGACCTTGGACCAGTCTGGAGGGAGACAAAGTTGTGAAAGAGGAGATTGATGTCACAAGGTTTTCAGTCACAGCAGTTCCTTTTAAAAGTGAAGATGATGAAGAGAAGCCTCTGTTCTCACAGCTACATCAGCACCAGGTGAAGGACAGAGATCTTCCAACCTGCAGCTCAGCTGGTCAGAAGGAAACAGCATCTGATGAAGAGGACTGTGGAGGACCYGAAACTACCAGTAACCCAGATGGAAATACTTACAAAAACAGTTGCAGCTCTTCAGAGACTGAACTCAGTGAGGATTATAACGACAACGAGGATCTGCCCAATCCTGGCTACCGGCTGAAGAATTTGTCAGTCTCTGGGCAAAAAACTAAAGAAAGGAACAAAGAACGGAAGAACAGAAGAGCTCCTGAGTCAGGAGTGAAGACTGTCAAAAAATCTGTGAGATGCTGTGAGTGTGGTAAGCAGTGTGTCAACAACAGGTCTCTTAAGAGACACATGTCCTGTCATTTAAGAGACCAGGCAGAACCAAAATTATTCAAGTGTAATGGTTGTGATAAGAAATTTACCAGAAAAGATATTCTAAATGTTCAGATGAGAGTCCACACAGGAGACAAACCATTTCCTTGTGAAGTGTGTGAACAAAGATTTAGCTGTAAGTCATCTTTAAACAAACAAATGAGAGTCCACATGGGAGAGAAACCATTTCTTTGTGAAGTGTGTGAACAAAGATTTAGCCAAAAGTCATATTTAAACAAACACATGAGAGTCCACACAGGAGACAAACCTTTTCTTTGTCATCTTTGTGGACAAAGATTTAGCCGCAAGTCATATTTAAGCACACATATGAGAGTCCACACAGAAGACAAACCATTTGCTTGTGATGTTTGTGGACAAAGATTTAGACGTAAGTCACATTTAAACTCGCACATGAGAGTCCACACAGGAGACAAACCATTTGCTTGTGATGTTTGTGGACAAAGATTTAGACGTAATTCACATTTAAACATACATATGAGAGTTCACACAGGAGACAAACCATTTTCTTGTAAAGTGTGTGGAAAAATGTTTAGACATAAGTCATGTTTAAACAAGCACATGAGAGTTCACACAGGAGACAAACCATTTCCTTGTGATGTTTGTGGACGAAGATTTAGCCAAACGTCACATTTAAACTCACACATGAGAGTCCACACAGGAGAAAAACCATTTCCTTGTGATGTTTGTGGACTAAGATTTAGACATAAGTCAAATTTAAACACACATGAGAGTTCACACAGAAGAAAAAACATTTCCTCGTGATCTTTGTGGACAAAGATTTAGCCGTAAAGCAAGATAAACACAACACCTTATTTACATAATGAGGCAGAAATGCATAAGGTAAAGTAAGAACAGGAGACAGAAATGTAAAAGCAACACGTGGAAATAAAAGGCTTGTGGGAAAAATAAAAAATAAATAAATATAATCATTTGAGAAAAACAAATGCTTTTACTTTTTTTTCCCCTTTTTTTCCAATTAGCAGCCTAACAGATTCCTATTTTGTTCTATTTTATAAATATGTCCAAGTTTAATAATGTGTGAAAAATCCACAGTTTTCTGTTTATCCAGTCAGTGTTTACCGGTAATACAGCTGGCAAAATAAACTTTATAAAATACTGTATTATTTTAATTTAGTGTGTAAAAAAATCAAGCCCTTTGTGTCACAGAAAGACCCTTGATTCAAGAGAAATGTCAGGTTTTTAGGAAAATGGCCACTTATCAATTAATCGTTAGTTGATCGATAAGGTAAATCAACTTTAGATTAATCCATTCATCGATAACTTGCATCCCTAATTCAGAATCGATTAATCACGATTCGATTAGATGAAAATGTTTATTGATATTGGTATAGTATTTTGCAACTATGTTGATATTGTATTTTGCAAATACAAATCACCATTTTTTTCTCTTCAACATAACAGGTTTTAAGGACAAAATTTTAAATTAAACTGTTTAATCTTGAAAGAAAACTGTTACAAGTTTAAAAGGTTTTAAAGTAAATAGGAGATGCAGGTGACCGTTTTGTTGTGGATGCAATCATTTTTAAGTAATTAATATATAATTATTTTATAATTATTTTGATAATTAAGAAGTGATGGGAATAAGGTTGCAGGAGAAGAGGTGGGCTAATATAAATATACTTCTGCCCACTCCTTTTGAGTGTATGAAAAATTGTGAATGGGAGTTCAGAACTGTAATTTCATTGTGTACCAGAGATTCTTAACCTATGGGCCGAGTGCCACCTTGATGGCCTCAAAAGAACAACAGTTTTTAACTTTGGGCCGCAGAGGGCCGTGGGATCCCATTGATTTTGAATAAGGTGCAATACACTTTCTCACCACTAGTAGTGTGCCACTCAGAATTTTAACAACTTTTAAAATATCATTATATTATATGTTATATACATAATATAATATATATTCTATATTATATTTTAATTTGTCTCTGCTTGGCCTTCAGAGGAGCAGGACATGCTTTTCGCGCTCTCTGCCCCCCACTCCCTTCCCTGCTTCGCTGCTTTAGCTTTTTCAAGCTCATTTTTCACCTTCCAGCCGAAACTAAAGGAATTATGGATTTGGTCAACTGGACTCTGAGTGAAATTAACACTATTATTTTCCACACTTGGAACGAAGGGAACATTGCTTTCTGGGTGGAATGGTTGCTGCTGGATTTGTCTGATTCCTGGGGCTGGAATCTGTTATGCCAGCACCACTTTTCATCGAAAACATGGAAGATCTTTATTTAATTGGATTATGATAACTGGATTCCTGCTGATTGGCGGAGGAGGGTTCCAGATTTATCGAAAAGTGAAAGCGACCCCGACAGTGGATCGGGCATTTTAAAGAGCTGTTCGGGCGCACTTGAAGATTTTGCCGGCTTTGGAAGCACACAGACTCTCAGCTGGGGAAAAAATTGCAAACTGGATGTGATTATGAGGATCACAAATCAGGAGCGACCCTTCGGCATGTATGGACTACATTCTGGGTGAGCTTCAATCGGTGTGAGGCGAGGAAGACCCCAAATTCGGCTGATTGGCATTTTTCGCCACCTCAGAATTTGCAGTAAAGACGCTTCAAAAGCAGCAAGAATTTTAAGGTTGCTTTGTTCCAAAACAATTGGATTATTTTATCTGGCTCCCAGGGCCACAGCCTTGAGGGCAGTGCTTATCTTAACTTCCCCAGGATGAAATGTCAATAAAGAGCTGGATTTGCTCCTACCCCATTACCCACCCATGTTGGACCCGGCCTTGGAACTCAAACTGGCTGAGGAGGAGGAAAATCTCTGAACTCTAGCGAACTGAGTAGAGGCAATAACATCATGTGACTCTGTTTGTCATAATCACGTCTTGTGATTATTTGCCAGGAGTTTACTTTTAAACTGTAAGTGTATTTAATTTAGTTATAATGTAAATCAGGGGTGGCCAACCAGTTGCTCGCGGGCGACTGGTCACCCACCAGCTGATTCCCAGGTGCCCGCGAAGCGCAACCTTGCTCTGACAGCTGACGACAGCTGTTGTCAGGTGTAAGGTTGCGCTCCGGCCAGGAGCTTGCTGAGCTTCATTCTAACTCAGGCAGAAGCGGTGGAGGTGGGAGGAGGAGAGTGGAGGGCAGGAATGCAAACTCCTCCCGCCTCCCACCTCCACCGCTTCTGCCGGAGTTAGAGTGAAGCTCAGAGGAGGGTAGTCTCGCGAGTTTTGAGTGCTGTGAGACAGCGCTCCGAACATGATCTTGCGAGACTTTAGGGTCACGTGTTTAAAACATRATCTTGAGGCAGAAAATAATGAACGAAAAACGAGCTATCAAGCAAAAATAAATATTATTTTGACCTGGACTGGTAAGAGGACTCATATGTAACTCGAGCGTTGTCTTGTCCAAAAAGGATAACGTGGAACGGCATTTCAAAACAATACACAAACGCAGATTTCCTCCTAAAACCACACTGCATCGATTTTCACACCAGAGGTAAGGCTAATGTAGCCCATCCTGCCTCAACACAAAAAAGGTCTTTCAGCAACGACCAAGTTATGAAAGGTGTTTGAAGCTGCAGACGTGCTTTTCCGTGATTTTAAAAGTAAAAGTGAGGTTGTGGCTGCTATAAAGATGTGCAGTTGTCCAGGATGGTTGACATTGTGTCCAAATTCGTGTCCGTGTTTCTGCTGGACTGCTCTGGTGTTGAAAATGAGGTTTTGACTCAGCAAAATGACACTGGGATCAAATCCTGTGTGGCATGGATGGAGTGTTCTGCAGTCTGCTGTCAGAGGAAACGTATCCTAACATCAGAAGAGGTGCTTTGAACTTGACAAAACTTTTTGGATCTACTTGTGTGAGTCTGCTTTCTCTCACATGAAAATCATCAAATCCAAGAACAGATCCACAATAACTGATGATCATCTGGAGACCTGCCTGCGCCTCAACCACCTCATACTGCCCACCCTGGTTCTTCCTCTCAGTGTCAGAAGTCCCAATAAGGTAGAGACATTTATTTTTATATCGCCTGCATAAAAGGTTTTCTCCTCTAGATTTGTCACATTGTGTCTGTATGTTGTTTTTTTATTTTATATTTTTTATTTTATTTGTTTTATTACATTTTAGACCACACTGACTGCCACTTTTGTGTTTGTTATTTACTGTATTTATTTTGCAGTTCGGGTGTGCCCTTGTTTTCTGTACCTAACGCGTGTGCGTGCG